AAAAAACGCATGTAAATTTATAAAGTACTAATAATATTGCGCACTATTATGCACATTTTGTTTTGGCATTCACTTGGTGTGCAATTCTTTTGTCTACGAGATTTTATTCTATTTTTAAAACTTTAAGTATTTAAAATGGATTAAAAATCATGTCTATAGCCCGAGTTCCCATCCCCTGATATTTTATATAAGAATATTCGAGAAAGTTTTGGGGAGATCACTCCCGGTTTGTTTTTACGAGATTCTATTCTATTATAAAAATTTAAGTAATTAAAAATGGATAACAAATAGTGTCTATGTCCTGAGTTGCCATCCCTCGTAATTTTATATTAGAATATTCGAGAAAGTTTAGGGGAGATCACTCTCGGTTTATTTAAAATTGTGTTTAATTACCGAAAATACCAAAGCGTCAATTACATCCACAAGAACAAAAAAAAAGTCAGAATTTTATTTAATTTTAATTACACCGTGAATAATTTTAAAAATATTGAATGGGCATCTCGAATAACTTCAAGGTCATTCTCGTTGGGACCATTTGACCTAGACTTAAATTGGACCTAGACTTAAATTGGACCTAGACTTAAATTGGACCTAGACTTAAATTGGACCTAGACTTAAATTGGACCTAGACTTAAATTGGACCTAGACTTAAATTGGACCTAGACTTAAATTGGACCTAGACTTAAATTGGACCTAGACTTAAATTGGACCTAGACTTAAATTGGACCTAGACTTGACTGTCCATCATTGGGCTGCCCTAATAACTCGACGTTTTATTTAAGGGATTAGAGGGAAACCACTCGAAAATTGTTGTGACTCTTTTAGACCAGTCAAGTGATCATTGACCTCCCCTTGGCCATCTGGCTATAAAAGAGCTGGCGTGGAGGTGGTGGGCTGCTATCAACCATGGACGTGTTTGGATGTGCTTTTCTTGCTGGGCTAGTGCTAGGTCAGTGATGTGGTCAGTGATGTTGTTAGTGATGTGGACAGTGATGTTGTCAGTAATCTGGTCAGTGTTGTAGTCAGTGTTGTGGTCAGTGACGTTGTCAGTGTTGTGGTCAATGATGTGGTCAGTGATGTGGTCAGTGATGTGGTCAGTGATGTGGTCAGTGATGTGGTCAGTGATGTGGTCAGTGATGTTGTCAGTAATGTGGTCAGTGTTGTGGTCAGTGTTGTGGTCAGTGACGTTGTCAGTGTTGTGGTCAGTGATGTTGTCAGTGATGTGGTTAGTGATGTGATTAGTGATGTGGTCAGTGATGTTGTCAGTGATGTGGTTAGTGATGTGATCAGTGATGTGGTCATTGATGTTGTCAGTGTTGTGGTCAGTGATGTTGTCAGTGATGTTGTCAGTGATGTGGTTAGTGATGTGGTCATTGATGTGGTCAGTGGTGTGGTCAGGGGCGGAACTACAGTGCCTCCAGACGCCGCAATGCGCGGGGGGGGGGGGCGGCACGCCATTTAAGGGCCCATAGCCGACCATAATAATTTTTTAGCGCAATTTTCTTACAGGAAAAACGATTATTAACTCGTCATTTCCGTATGGATGGATGTGCGCAGCTTTAGATCGTATCTCCTTCTCAACGAAGCAATATCGAGGACTAGTTCCAAAAGCAAATATGTTCAGCAAGTTCCGAGGATGATTGTGGGCCCAAAAAAATCCCGGAATTCATTCCTGGATTTCCAAGAAAAGCCAAAAAAAACTCGAAAAAATGCAGTTTTTGGCCCATATCTCGGTCGCCAGGCTACTTAGCGACTTGAAACATTTACGAATCGATTTCTGCCATAATTTAAAACAATATTGCCGAAGAAAGTTTTCAAAAATATCCTTTCGTTTGGTCACAAAAAAATTAATTAACGAAATTGCGCTTAAATTGTCACTAGACTTTTTATTAACTTGTTTTTTCTTTTCATCGACGGCTAAAAAACCAGCAACTACACATATATTAATTAAATATGCTATGTCAGATGGTATTTTTACATGTGTTCAGATGATACTTTAAACTTGATGTGTTTAGATGATACTTTAAACTTGATGTGTTCAGATGATACTTTGTACTTGATGTGTTCAGATGATACTTTAAACTTGATGTGTTCAGATGATACTTTAAACTTGATGTGTTCAGATGATACTTTAAACTTGATGTGTTCAGATGATACTTTATACATATGTCTTCAGATGATACTTAAACTTGATGTGTTCAGATGATACTTTAAACTTGATGTGTTCAGATGATACTTTATACATATGTGTTCAGATGATACTTTATACATATGTGTTCAGATGATACTTTATACATATGTGTTCAGATGTTACTTTAAACTTGATGTGTTCAGATGATACTTTATACATATGTGTTCAGATGTTACTTTAAACTTGATGTGTTCAGATGATACTTTATACATATGTGTTCAGATGATACTTTATACATATGTTTTCAGATGATACTTTTTACTTGATGTGTTCAGGTGATACTTTAAACTTGATGTGTTCAGATGATACTTTAAACTTGATGTGTTCAGATGATACTTTATACTTGATGTGTTCAGATGATACTTTAAACTTGATGTGTTCAGATGATACTTTATACTTGATGTGTTCAGATGATACTTTATACATGTGTTCAGATGATACTTTTTACTTGATGTGTTCAGATGATACTTTATACATATGTGTTCAGATGATACTTTAAACTTGATGTGTTCAGATGATACTTTAATCTTGATGTGTTCAGATGATACTTTATACATATGTCTTTAGAAGATACTTTATACATATGTGTTCAGATGATACTTTAAACTTGATGTGTTCAGATGATACTTTATACATATGTGTTCAGATGATACTTTAAACTTGATGTGTTCAGATGATACTTTATACATATGTGTTCAGATGATACTTTAAACTTGATGTGTTCAGATAATACTTTAAACTTGATGTGTTCAGATGATACTTTAAACTTGATGTGTTCAGATGATACTTTATACTTGATGTGTTCAGATGATACTTTATACTTGATGTGTTCAGATGATACTTTAAACTTGATGTGTTCAGATGATACTTTTTACTTGATGTGTTCAGATGATACTTTATACTTGATGTGTTCAGATGATACTTTAAACTTGATGTGTTTAGATGATACTTTAAACTTGATGTGTTCAGATGATACTTTAAACTTGATGTGTTCAGATGATACTTTATACTTGATGTGTTCAGATGATACTTTATACTTGATGTGTTCAGATGATACTTTAAACTTGATGTGTTCAGATGATACTTTATACTTGATGTGTTCAGATGATACTTTAAACTTGATGTGTTCAGATGATACTTTAAACTTGATGTGTTCAGATGATACTTTAAACTTGATGTGTTCAGATGATACTTTATACTTGATGTGTTCAGATGATACTTTAAACTTGATGTGTTCAGATGATACTTTAAACTTGATGTGTTCAGATGATACTTTAAACTTGATGTGTTCAGATGATACTTTATACATATGTGTTCAGATGATACTTTAAACTTGATGTGTTCAGATGATACTTTATACTTGATGTGTTCAGATGATACTTTATACTTGATGTGTTCAGATGATACTTTAAACTTGATGTGTTCAGATGATACTTTAAACTTGATGTGTTCAGATGATACTTTAAACTTGATGTGTTCAGATGATACTTTAAACTTGATGTGTTCAGATGATACTTTAAACTTGATGTGTTCAGATGATACTTTAAACTTGATGTGTTCAGATGATACTTTAAACTTGATGTGTTCAGATGATACTTTAAACTTGATGTGTTCAGATGATACTTTAAACTTGATGTGTTCAGATGATACTTTATACATATGTGTTCAGATGATACTTTAAACTTGATGTGTTCAGATGATACTTTTTACTTGATGTGTTCAGATGATACTTTAAACTTGATGTGTTCAGATGATACTTTAAACTTGATGTGTTCAGATGATACTTTAAACTTGATGTGTTCAGATGATACTTTAAACTTGATGTGTTCAGATGATACTTTAAACTTGATGTGTTCAGATGATACTTTAAACTTGATGTGTTCAGATGATACTTTATACATATGTGTTCAGATGATACTTTATACATATGTGTTTAGATGATACTTTAAACTTGATGTGTTCAGATGATACTTTAAACTTGATGTGTTCAGATGATACTTTAAACTTGATGTGTTCAGATGATACTTTAAACATATGTGTTCAGATGATACTTTAAACTTGATGTGTTCAGATGATACTTTAAACTTGATGTGTTCAGATGATACTTTATACATATGTGTTCAGATGATACTTTAAACTTGATGTGTTCAGATGATACTTTATACATATGTTTTCAGATGATACTTTAAAATTGATGTGTTCAGATGATACTTTAAACTTGATGTGTTCAGATGATACTTTAAACTTGATGTGTTCAGATGATACTTTATCCCCTCCGCAGCCGTGCTGGGCCAAGACGACGCCAGCTGTTTACAAAACAACTGCAGGATCCCTGCCCCACAGGACTCACCACAACACTGCAGGCATGTCACATTACATGTCACATTACATGTGACATTACATGTCACATTACATGTCACATTACATATGTCACATATCATTTGTCACACTTCTTCTAAGACGCTCAATATGTCACACTACATCTGTCACAGCCCATATGTCACACTACAGATGTCACATTCCATCTGTCATACTTCTTCTGTCACACTTCATCTGTCACACTTCATTTGTGACATTCCATCTAGCACACTACATATGTCACATTTCTTTTGTCACTCACCATCTGTCACACACCATCTGTCACTCACCATCTGTCACACATCATCTGTCACACACCATCTGTCACACACCATCTGTCACACACCATCTGTCACACACCATCTGTCACACACAATCTGTCACTTATCTCAATGTCATGTCACGACCACGATGTCAACATTTTCTCCTATACAAACACCATGTCCTTCTTTTTTATCCCGCCACTACCAATTGTGACCTCTCCTGACCCATGTGACCTTCACTGACCCCTGTGACCTGCTACTCCCAGGACGGCGCACAAGTTCATTGAGTGCATCACCATGACAGTTGTGGAGAACCCGAGCTGCCCCAGCGATCTGCGTCAGATGTGGGCCACCACAGCCCACACCATCAGACTGTCCCTCAAGGGCAGGTGTCACCACACAAACAGTTGAGTACCCAGCACAACATCTATCTGCTGTACAAACATGCCAGTCACCACACAAACAGTTGAGTACATGGCACAACATCTACCTGCTGTACAAACATGCCAGTCACCACACAAACAGTTGAGTACATGGCACAACATCTACCTGCTGTACAAACATGCCAGTCACCACACAAACAGTTGAGTACATGGCACAACATCTACCTGCTGTACAAACATGCCAGTCACCACACAAACAGTTGAGTACATGGCACAACATCTACCTGCTGTACAAACATGCCAGTCACCACACAAACAGTTGAGTACCTAGCACAACATCTACCTGCTGTACAAACATGCCAGTCACCACACAAACAGTTGAGTACCTAGCACAACATCTACCTGCTGTATAAACATGCCAGTCACCACACAAACAGTTGAGTACATGGCACAACATCTACCTGCTGTACAAACATGCCAGTCACCACACAAACAGTTGAGTACATGGCACAACATCTACCTGCTGTACAAACATGCCAGTCACCACACAAACAGTTGAGTACCTAGCACAACATCTACCTGTTGTACAAACATGCCAGTCACCACACAAACAGTTGAGTACCTAGCACAACATCTACCTGCTGTATAAACATGCCAGTCACAACACAAACAGTTGAGTACCTAGCACAACATCTATCTGCTGTACAAACATGCCAGCCACCACACAAACAGTTGAGTACATGGCACAACATCTACCTGCTGCCAGTTAACATAGGACCTTAGATCCCAGAACTTTACTAAACACCGCCTTATATATTAACACAAACAAGAAGCCACATATGTTGTTAGTTAACACAAATATTGGGTACAAGAAGCCACATATGTTGTTAGTTAACACAAATATTGGGTACAAGAAGCCACATATGTTGTTAGTTAACACAAATATTGGGTACAAGAAGCCACATATGTTGTTAGTTAACACAAATATTGGGTACAAGAAGCCACATATGTTGTTAGTTAACACAAATATTGGGTACAAGAAGCCACATATGTTGTTAGTTAACACAAATATTGGGTACAAAAAGCCACATATGTTATTAGTTAACACAAATATTGGGTACAAGAAGCCACATATGTTGTTAGTTAACACAAATATTGGGTACAAGAAGCCACATATGTTGTTAGTTAACACAAATATTGGGTACAAGAAGCCACATATGTTGTTAGTTAGCACAAATATTGGGTACAAGAAGCCACATATGTTGTTAGTTAACACAAATATTGGGTACAAGAAGCCACATATGTTGTTAGTTAACACAAATATTGGGTACAAGAAGCCACATATGTTGTTAGTTAACACAAATATTGGGTACAAGAAGCCACATATGTTGTTAGTTAACACAAATATTGGGTACAAAAAGCCACATATGGTGTTATTTAACACAAATATTGGGTACAAGAAGCCACATATGTTGTTAGTTAACACAAATATTGGGTACAAGAAGCCACATATGTTGTTATTTAACACAAATATTGGGTACAAGAAGCCACATATGTTGTTAGTTAACACAAATATTGGGTACAAGAAGCCACATATGTTGTTAGTTAACACAAATATTGGGTACAAGAAGCCACATATGTTGTTAGTTAACACAAATATTCGGTACAAGAAGCCACATATGTTGTTAGTTAACACAAATATTGGGTACAAGAAGCCACATATGTTGTTAGTTAACACAAATATTGGGTACAAGAAGCCACACATGTTGTTAGTTAACACAAATATTTGGTACAAGAAGCCACATATGTTGTTAGTTAACACAAATATTGGGTACAAGAAGCCCCATATGTTGTTAGTTAACACAAATATTGGGTACAAGAAGCCACATATGTTGTTATGCAGACAGATTTATTTACAAATTTATTTTTCATCGAAATATGTGTCTGCCTGTTAAGCTCTAATGTGTTGGCCATTGTGACTGTATTTAATGTATTATAACGCTATTGGGTACAGAAAGTGACACGTGTTGTTTGTTTACACAAATATTGGGTACAGAAAGTGACACGTGTTGTTTGTTTACACAAATATTGGGTACAGAAAGTGACACGTGTTGTTTGTTTACACAAATATTGGGTACAGAAAGTGATACGTGTTGTTTGTTTACACAAATATTGGGTACAGAAAGTGACACGTGTTGTTTGTTTACAGCCGGATCAGCCATGATGGACCTGATGTTGCTGTATCTCTGGACAGCGGTCACTGCTGTCTGCCTCATGGGCAACTGACCTCATGAGCAACTGCTGTCTGTGGATACATGGGCAACTGCTGTCTGTGGATACATGAGCAACTGCTGTCTGTGGATACATGGGATATGCTGTCTGTGGATACATGGGACATGCTATCTGTGGATACATGGGATATGCTGTCTGTGGATACATGGGATATGCTGTCTGTGGATACATGGGATATGCTGTCTGTGGATACATGGGATATGCTGTCAACGACATCTACCCAAGGGTTTCAAGATATGCAGATTTATTGACAAATTTATTTTTCATCGAAATATGTGTCTGCCTGTTAAGCGCTAATGTGTTGGCCATTGTGACTGTATTTAATGTATTATAACGCTACCGATGTGAATTGTAATTTTAAAACTTGACTTACATTTGTATCTGGTGTGTAAGAGTTAAGCTTTTGGTAAAAAATTAATTTTACCCCCCCCCCCCTTTTTTGTGAGCAGTTACATTTTTTTTATATTTAAAGGGGGGTAATGCATGGTTTGCAACTCGACTAAGATTGTTTGAGTTATCGCTCTTGTCTTGATACAAAGCTGCGATATCATCTTTGACGTGTGAGAGCTGGACGTATTGATGACGTCATTTGTTCGCACTCCAGCTGTGTACGACTGATGTGTACAGAGCTTACCTACGACTGATGTGTACAGAGCTTACCTACGACTGACGTAATTACTGACGTGATGTCCTTATGGATGAATGTATTCTTGCTTCCACTTTCCATGCTACAATAAATTTCTTTTTGAAAATATTCTGTGTTTGTTTACACACTTGACAAGACAAACACACAGAAACTAGGTCTGTGTTTGTTTACACACTTGACAAGACAAACACACAGAAACTAGGTCTGTGAAACCTGGTGTTGCCATGGTAACAAAAAGACCAACTGCATTTTCGGACAAGTGATTTAGTTAACTTGTGTCTATGACTGTGGAAAAATAATTGTCGGCAACTAGAAAAGGTCGAACTAAAGAAGAACTCACGTGCTAAAACAAAACATTGACACGGACGACGTGTGTGAGTTGTGTTCGATGTGTTGGTGTGTTGGTGTGTTGGTGTGTTGGTGTGTTGGTGTGTCAGAAATGTGTCCATTACTAGTTTTCTACATGCTACCCATCCAGGTAAGCTAATTAGTTTTCTGTCTGTTGTCATTTCTAGGTAAGCTAATTAGTTTTCTGTCTGTTGTCATTTCTATGTAAGCTAATTAGTTTTCTGTCTGTTGTCATTTCTAGGTAAGCTAATTAGTTTTCTGGCTGTTTTCATATCTAGGTATGCTAATTAGTAGTTTTCTGTCTGTTGTCATTTCTAGGTAAGCTAATTAGTTTTCTGGCTGTTTTCATATCTAGGTATGCTAATTAGTAGTTTTCTGTCTGTTGTCATTTCTAGGTAAGCTAATTAGTTTTCTGTCTGTTGTCATTTCTATGTAAGCTAATTAGTTTTCTGTCTGTTGTCATATCTAGGTAAGCTAATTAGTTTTCTGTCTGTTGTCATATCTAGGTAAGCTAATTAGTAGTTTTCTGTCTGTTGTCATATCTATGTAAGCTAATTAGTTTTCTGTCTGTTGTCATATCTAGGTAAGCTAATTAGTTTTCTGGCTGTTTTCATATCTAGGTATGCTAATTAGTAGTTTTCTGTCTGTTGTCATTTCTAGGTAAGCTAATTAGTTTTCTGTCTGTTGTCATTTCTATGTAAGCTAATTAGTTTTCTGTCTGTTGTCATTTCTATGTAAGCTAATTAGTTTTCTGTCTGTTGTCATATCTAGGTAAGCTAATTAGTTTTCTGTCTGTTGTCATTTCTATGTAAGCTAATTAGTTTTCTGTCTGTTGTCATATCTAGGTAAGCTAATTAGTTTTCTGTCTGTTGTCATATCTAGGTAAGCTAATTAGTTTTCTGTCTGTTGTCATATCTATGTAAGCTAATTAGTTTTCTGTCTGTTGTCATATCTAGGTAAGCTAATTAGTTTTCTGGCTGTTTTCATATCTAGGTATGCTAATTAGTAGTTTTCTGGCTGTTGTCAAATCTATGTAAGCTAATTAGTTTTCTGTCTGTTGTCATATCTATGTATGCTAATTAGTAGTTTTCTGTTGTCATATCCAGTCTTTGCCCAACGAAGCTAACCCTCCATCTGACGTCACGTTTACTGGAGCTAGCCATGGAAACGGTACATCCAGCGCTACTAGACTTCCAGGGAAAGATTTCTGTCGTTTGCTTTTTGTAAATTAATTACTGAGATAATTATTAGTCACCTGAGGCGAAAACCTAGTACGGAAACTTGACCTTGGGTTAGGGTTGACCTTGGCCGCTTCGTATAATTTCTGCCAGGTGTATTTTATTCGTTTGCAAATATACACCTTTTGAAAGATCAAACTCTCACATTGTGAGGTTTATTTTTTAGCGCAATTTCCATTCTGGAGAATTGCGTTTATTAACCCGTCATTTCTGGATGGATGTATGTTCGCAGCTTTAAGTCGTATCTCCTCCTCAACGAAGCAATATCGAGGACTAGTTCCAAAAGCAATTATGTTAAGCAAGTTACGAGGATGAGCAGAGGCCATAAAAATTCCGGGTTTCTTTCATGGATTTCCCGGAAAAGCCAAAAAAACTCGAAAAAATGCACTTTTTTGCCCATATCTCGGCAACCAGACCACTTAGCGACTTGAAACATGTACCAATCAATTCCTGCCATAATTTAGAACAATATTGCCGAAGAAAGTTTTCAAAAATATCCTTTCGTTCGGTCACAAAAATTTTTTTGAATTAATTAAAATTTGGACCGAATTAGTAGGCATTTTTTGCAACCACACCACACGCGTCATCACGTTCAATAGCTGCGCCATCACGTTCAATGGCTGCGTCATCACGTTCAGTAGCTAGGCGCGCAATGGTTTTTAGTCATGTAACTCTATTGTAAATAAAACATGTAAAATACTGAAAAAAAACGTTTTAATAACTAACCAATGGTTTTACTAACCCTGCTCTTGATTTACGTCCAGTGACTGGAGTCAGACGTCCAGTGACTTGAGTCAGACGTCCAGTGACTTGAGTCAGACGTCCAGTGACTTTATCAGACGTCCAGTGACTTTATCAGACGCTCAGATGACTCCAACATCAGCCCATCTACCACCGCATAAAGGCAGATAGTCAGGACAGTCAGGACAGTAAGGACAGTCAGGACAGCAAGGACAGTCAGGATATGACTGGTTCACTCAGCCACTACTCACAGTCTCTGCTCTTTTCCCCCACATTGTCAGACTTCAGCCCACACTACACCAGCCCACACTACACCAGGCCACACTACACCAGCCCACACTACACCAGCCCACACTACACCAGCCTCAAATAGCACCCTGTCTGGGCGACAGAGGACGCCCGGATTCGATTCACTTAAAGACTATAATAACCTTTCTTATCCATAGTCTATCGCACTGTTTAAAGTGAAATTATGCACCATAGTGCTCACAGGTTAGCCCAGGGCGCCAAATCGAACCCTTCTGGGGCGCCGGCGGACGCGCCTTTTTAAATTTAGTGAACAATTATAATACTCCAAGCTTATCCGTAAACGGAAAAAATAAACATTTAGGACATGAAGGACCTGGCTTATTAACTGTTATTGATTAAAAATAATCAGAAGAAAACAGTACGTTAAGTGTATGGAATAAATAAAAGGCAGTATTAAAAATACCGATAACATTGCACTTAATCAATCCCCGCTAATTAGATAATTATTTTCTTTCCTAACACCAAAAACAAAGTAATAATAAACCGGGAGTGATCTCCCCTAAACTTTCTCGAATATTCTTATATAACTTGGAATATAGACATGATTTTTAATTATTTAAACTTTTAAAAATAGAATAGAATCTCATAGAAAAAAGACTTGCGCACCAAGCGAACGCCAAAACAAAATGTGCATAATAGTGCGCAATATTATTGGTACTTTATAAATTTACATGCGTTTTTTGAGAAATCGGAAATAGCGTAAATTAGTACTTCCGGTCAACGGAAATTACTCACAGTTTGACAGAATGTAGAGAATTAGATCTTTTACTTACGTGTGAAATTTAATTTATCTATCTGAAATATTACTCAAGTTATAGGCTTTTCAAAAATTCAAATTAGAATAAGTACCACTTCCGGTTATCGGAAATCGCTCAAAAGTTGAACAGGATATAAGATTTTGATAAAATACTTATATTTGAAATTTCATCAACCTAGCTGTAACGGTACTCAAGTTATCGTGTTTACACACAGACAGACAGACACACACACACACATACACACACACACACAGACATACGGACAAGATTGCAAAATTATGTTTTTTCCGTATCAGTGAGGTGTAAAACGTCGAGATTTGTAAAAATCTCGATTTTTTTTTTTTGCACGATTACAAGACTTTCTCTATACTTCGTTCGCATATACGAGAAAGTAAAAAGTAAATTCTTTCTCCCCCCGATTTAATGGTTTTTTAAAGGGAAGTAACTGTGTTTTCCAAATCAAGGAACGTAATGAGAGCTAAAGGACAAAATACAAATACATTTCAGACACAATTTTAGAAAATTTATAAACGTTGATACACTTTTTTATTTATTTTATGTCATGTTCATAATTGAAAATTATTATTCTAAGCATATAAAATGAAAATTGTTTTATAGACTTTCAATATTAATTTTTTAACTCATAAATTTAGACCATGAGCACTTTAATAATATAACACTTGAATCCATGGAAGTATAGTTTTTTTCGTTTTTTCTTATATTTCTTTGTAATCTACGACAAACATTTTACAAACATACATACATACAGAATTGATCTTTATATATTAAATAATATATCATCCCCAATCACCACAACACCCTGCCTCTACTAATCCAAATAAAAAATAAAAGTGTTTGCTAAATTGCTATTACATTACCAGTAATTTTTTCTTTGACTAATTCTAGTCTTAAACAAACCGGTAATTTTTTGAAGTAATTTTGTATTTATTATAAAAATTGTCATAATTTTTTTTTAATATGCTTTACAGCGTCGTTGAATTTTTAATTTTCAGTCTCAGAAAACATGCTCACACGTCAAAAAATACACATTTGGTAACGTGTTGATGAAACCGTTATAAGATGTAGGGTCATCCGGGTACGTAGGACGGTTGGTACGTCACAAGGTAAAACAGTTTTAACTGTAAATATTTACAATTGCCTAAATGACGTCACCCGATGTTGACCGCACACCCGCCCTTGCATTGTGACGCAACTGTTTTTGATTACTTATATGTAAGAGGCTAACAGTTAATTTGTTGTTTTTTTTCCCATAAAAGTGATAAAAATCAAACTTATTTTAC